AAAGAAAAAAAAAAAAGGAAAAAAAATAAGGAAAGGGAAATCAAGCCTCAACAACCTTTCCTTCCTCCCTCCACTCGCCGCCGCCCTCCGCCACAAACCTCCGCCAGAAAAAATGTTCCGCCCACACCTTCTCCATCTTCTCTATCGGAATACCCTTCGTCTCCGGCAGCAAAAAGTACACGAACACCGCCATCACAAACACCCACGCCGCGAAGAAAAAGAAAATCGCGGATTTCAGGCGGCAGAGCATCGCCAGAAACACCTGCGCTATCAAGAACGTCATCGTCAGGTTCACCGCCACCACCACGCTCTGCGCCGCCGACCTTATCTCCAGCGGGAATATCTCGCTCGTCACCACCCACCCTAGCGGGCCCCACGACAGCCCGAATCCGGACATAAACACGCAAATCAACACCAGCACCGCCGCCGCCCATCCCCTGTCCATCCCGCCGTGGTCCCCCAGCTTCGCTGCCATTATCCCCCCCACAAGCAGCATCGACGCCAGCATCTGCACCCCTCCGAAGTGGAACAGCGGCCGCCGCCCGACCTTATCTACGAGCACCACGGTGATGATGGTGAACGTCGACGCCACGACTCCGGTCACCGTCGCCGCCAGCAGCGACGCGTTCTCTTTGGCGCCAATGGTTAGGAACAGAATCGGTGCGTAGAAGGCTATGATGTTTATCCCTGTAATCTGCTGGAAAAAGGGGATGAGGAGGGACATCACCAGCTGGGGACGGTAGCGTCGCCGCATCAGGTTGCGGAACGGGTGCTTGACGGCCTTGGAGGCGCGGCTGGCGTCGACAAGGTCGTTGAGCTCGTCGTGTACATCGTCTGTGCCGCGGATCTTGCGGAGAACTGCACGGGCCCTGGTGGGGTCGTCCGGATGGTTCTGGACGAGGCTATTGGGGGTTTCCGGGAGGAAGAGGGCGCCGATGGCGAGGATGGCGGCCGGGACACCGGCCATGGCAATGGAGATCCGCCAGCCCCAGCCGCCGGCGATGCGGACGGTGCCGTAGTTGATGAGTGTGGCGGAGTTGTAGCCGATGCTGACGCAGATTTGGAAGGCCACGTTGAAGGCGCCTCTGTATCGAGAAGGCGCCATTTCTGATAGGTAGAGAGGGACCGACTGCGATTCAAGACGAATGGCGTGTTATTGATAACATTGAAACGAGTGGATTGAGTTGAATTTTGAGTTAAAAGATATAGAACAAGATAACTCAATCAATCAAAACCGATTAAAACCGATCTTGTCACATATCCAAACACACCCTTGTTAGCATCTCGATCGCATGCTACAATGAATCATAATTTTGGTTTTGGCACAACATCTCTAGGTATCTTTAGGGGATTTACTCAATAATGAAATTGTACACATAGTTAAAAACACTATTGTTTGTCATAGCATTGCATATTTGACTAGTAAAAAAGTTAGCCACGTTATTCTTTCTTACACTCCACAAGCATATATATATTAAAATTTTCATTAAAAAAAAAAAAACATATGTACTACGCGCACATGCACCAAGGAGTAAGGACCACAAAAAAGTACCAAACCAAATTAACAGCCATCAAATTACTAGCAAATTTTACCTGATTGGTAAAGCCAAGGCCAACGCCAAGCAAAACACGGCCAATTATCAACATGTAAATGTTGGCCGACACGCCTCCGAGAGCCGCTCCGGTCATGTATGCGAGCCCTCCGACGATGATCGACGGCCTCCGGCCATAATCCCGAGTCACGACAGCCGCAAAGAAGGACGATATGAGACCGGCTACGTAGAGTGAGGACGTGAAGGAAGTCAGTAACTGGCTGTCGAATTTGCAGTAGTTGCTTATCTCTGTATCGCTTTTCATCTTCTTGTATACGCCGGAGAAGAACTTCTTCAAAAACGGGTCCATAGAGGAAACTCCACCTATTCATCATTTTAGAAACACAAAATCTTATGTCGAGAGCATATTTTCATCGCAAAAATCAAGTTTTGAGACAAACATTTAAACATTAAAAAGAACAAAAACTGTAAAAAATAGTAAATAATGACCAGAATAGACAAAAATAGTAAAAAGTCTAAAATTGAAGCATATACATAAACAGGGAAAAGGAAAAATAAACGAAGGGCCGGGAAAGAGAAAATCGAACCTGAAACTCCGACATCGTAGCCGAAAATGATTCCGCCGGAGGATGCAACCATGCAAGAAAGCAGAACGAACCACGTGATTTTTCCGGCGTATTGCTTGCCGTCGCTTTGTATCATTACACCACCGGCCATGGCCTTGTGTTGTTGAAGTGTAAGAAAACTAAATATTAATAAGCTATAAATATAGAGAAAATGTTAATTGTGGAAAATAAAAAGATTTAACTATGTAGTCAGGTTAGTTTCCTCTCTGTTTCGAACTAAGTGAGTAACGTTATTTATAGGAATGCAGCCAATATGGCCCCGAGTTTGCTTTTAGGCACAACCACCCACGATATATGGGTCCAGGCAAAATTTTAAAATTGGTCCTATAACTTGGCCACTGTCCAAAAAATCACCCCTATATTGACCACTTTCAATTTAGGTCCTATAATTTGTCAATTTCATCAATTTTGGTCCTTTTTATCCAGACCCTGGATTAAAAAGTGACGTGGCATGACGTGTCATTTTTTTAAGGTTACATGGCGTGATTATGATCTACGTGGCACGTCAATTTTGGTCCTATAATTTGTCGATTTCATCAATTTTGGTCCTTTTTTCATGCCACGTCACTTTTTAATCCAGGGTACGGATAAAAAAGGACCAAAATTGATGAAATCGACAAATTATAGGATCTAAATTGAAAGTGGTCAATATAGGGGTGGTTTTTTGGACAATGGCCAAATTATAGGACCAATTTTGAATTTTTGCCTATGGGTCCATAACACATTGTACATTGATTTGGACAGGCAAAATATATATACAGAGCCTAGTTATATTTTACACCTCATCTATTATTATTCACTCCTCAGTCCTCAAGATTTTTTCATTTAATTTCATTTTTAGAATTTTTATCGGTGCAGTGCAGGTCCCGAAAATTGAATGGATAGAATTTGGTTCCAATTTACTAGATGATCTATCTCCTAAGACCTAACAATAGGAAATGCTACGGTCTCGTTGCGAAACCATTCCGTCGAGGTTCGTAACCGTTAAATCAACTATCCCAACAGTTACATGATGATTTAATACAAATTCATACAGAATGGTTCCGTAATGGGATCGTAGTATTTCCTCCTAACAATAGTACCCCTCATTTTTCATTAGTTAAATAAATAGGCTTCATTTCACTTTTTTTTGGTGTTATTATTATTATTATTAATTTTTTTTTTTTTTGAGTCTTCAAGAGTGGTACCTGCATGGATAATACGGACTGAACATTACATTTATTCTTAAAGCATGTGGTATATATTTATTTTTTTTTTGGTACATGGACCTTCTGATTTCCAGATTCACAGGGGAACCGACTAATCCGGAATCGAGTCGGATAGGACCATAAGGGCGGCAAAGCTCTCCTTTAAGAGTTTTTAACACTGCTGCATTCCCAAGGTTCGAATATGAAACTATTGGTTCAGCTGGAAAAGACCCAAACCATCAAGCATGTGGTATATTGGATTCGGTATCATGCACGTTATTAGAGCTTTATTAGTTATCTTTTTTTCCTTCTTTTGGGGAATTTCAAATAATAACTATGTATAGTGTTGGAAGTGGGTGCGGTGGAAAATGTGAACAAACGTGACTAATTATAACTTAGAGTATGTTTGGGCAATTTGTGTAGAAAAAGCACAAACCAACAAAAAAGTTGACAGACACGTAATGTTAGAGCATCTCCGGTGGTATGCTTTTGAAAAGACAATAATTTTTAACACATGTCAATATAAGTGTAATGTTAATTAATATAAGAATAATGTTAAGAGATTAGAATTTTGAATTAAATTAGTATCTCCACATGATCAGGAGCGGAGCTAGGATTTTATATCTACTCGGACTATAATTATTTAACGAAAATAAATAAATATATGATAATATTGCAAATAAGATATCATTTTCCAAGTATGTTTATCAAACATGTATTTTCATCTCATCATTTTAAATTCAAAGAATAACTAAATTCAATAGTGGTATTTGAATGGTTAGAAAAATATAAAAAACCAAAGCCTAATAAGTGGAAAAAAAATATTGTAATATAATGTAAACTTACAAAAATATATAAATAATAAACAAAATAAGTACACATAAATATCAGGAGTAAAAATTGCAAAAATATTACATCACTCTTTAAATTTTACAAGAACATATGAACTCAATATTTTGATAATAACAACTAAGCATTAAATAAAAGCTAAATTAATTAGAAAGGACTCTAGACACATTTCTAATAAATTCATTCATAATACATAGATATGCTTTTCAAAAATCCATCCACATTAGTATACTTAAATAAATTTATAAGTATAAATTGAAAAAAACATTACAATATTATGTGAAATATGTGCATTAGTCTCAATTGTTTGGTCACTAACCGGGCTGAACTGGAAACAGAACACCAAACATATATTAAGCTAATGGTAGGCATTGGAAGAGGCACCCGGGCTACAGCCCAGGCTTATTTACATGTGCCTCCGCCCCTGCACATGATCAATTTGATAAGAAGTTATTTGTATATGTGGACCAATTAAAATAATTTACCGATACAAGAACAATAAAAAAATAAGCTAATTATAAAGTGAGCTGATCATGAGTCTTCGTGTTTAATTAACATGGCGTTAGATATTGAAACGTTGGCAAAACATGTCAACATTAAATAAATACCTCGATGAAAAGAAAAGGCTTTTATACTTTTTTTTTTCCGTTAAGATAAACAAAACAGCGGAACAAATGTGGACAAATAAGTAAATTAATGCAAAATGAAAGGACGACAGGAAATGTTTGTGAAAAGTTGTAGGGACCTGGCAGCTAAAAGAAGATGAGAAATTCTCATGACGAACATCGAGTTTGTTAGACATTGATAACGGTAATTATGGAGGAACTTTTTCTGTGTCCGTTTAATATTATAGAATTAGGTATATCGTATGTCATCGATCGAAACTTCGGACTTCCTATTTTTCTGGGAGATTTTATGGTCCCGTTATGGAACTATTTCGTCGGGTTTGTAATCGTTAGATCAACTACTCACGACGGTTAAATAATGATCTAACGGTTATAACTCTCGACGGAATAGTTCCGTAATGGACGTAGCATTTCTCTATTTTTCTTTCTCTTGTTTTTTTGGTACAGGGACCTTCCGGTTTCCGGATCCATAAGGGAACCGACTAATCTGGAATCGAGCCGGGTAGGACCACAAGGGCGGCAAAGCTCTCCCTCAAGAGTTTTTAACACTGCTGCATTCACAGGGCTCGAACACGAGACCACTGATTAAGTTGGAAGAGACCCAAGCCATTTCATCCAAGCACTCTTGGGTACTATTTTTCTTTCTCTCATTTGGTCTTTCCTATAATTTATGTTATTAAAAGGCAAACAGTTATAATTTATCCAATAATTTTGGGTTTTGTTTTGGTAAATCCAAATATTTTTAAAATCGAATATCAATGTATTCTTTAAATCCTTAAATAACATTTAATAATTAAAGACAAAAAATAAGTTTTCCGTTAGATAATAATGCTTATCGAAAATCAATGTAATATAAAACCAAAAAAATGTACATTTTTTGTTTGTTAATAGAATACGAAAAAAAAAAAAAAGCAATGGAGTTTAGAAGTTCTCCGTCTATGAAATAAGAACATCAGACGCAAACTTGCTTTTATTTTTAATGTCATCCTCTGTCACGCCAAATAATTAGCCTGAAATGGTATATCATACCAGTTGTCGGAGCTCGAATAGCTCGAAAACAACTCGGTTGATTGGACATAGCCCGTAGCTCGGTTAAACCTGGTTTACTCGAGACAATACATTGTGGCTCAGACAACTCAGAATCGGGTCGGTGAAATAAAGAACAACATCAAGCCGAGTTAGTAATGTAGGATAGTCCGTCAAACCCTCAGCCTGGATCTTGAATGGTCGGTCAACAACCTGAAAGGCAGCTTCTAGCCTTGTAAACAAAGCATTATTTTTTTTTTCTTTTTATTCAATATTCGAATTAGATATGCGTGTTCAAACTCGAAATATCTTCGAATATGAATAATATTTTATATTCAAAAGTTAAACGAGTTCGAACCGAATTTGTAAATATTCAATTTGAAACTAAATATTCGGTCTGTTAACGGTAATTATATAAAGTTTATAAATTATATATGGCATAAAATTTGTTATAATATATATACATATATATATATATTTATATTCTTAATATTTTTATGATATAAAAAGAAAAAAAAATCAAATTAACAATTTGTCCAAAAAACATCTCAAATTGGATAGGAAAAACATAAACAATATTTTTATAATTATAATCTTTTTTTCTTTATAATTATAATATTTTTCTGAAAACGAATTTCGAATCAAATCGAATATGTTTGAATATTCTAAACGAATCGAATACAAATATAAAAAAAATGAGTTCGTTTACAAATCGAATACGACTGCAAATCATCAAATATTTTAACGAAATCGAGTCGAATATCTTAGTAGTCGTTTTTATTAGATTCGTTTGCAATCGTACATCTTCTGGATTTGCAATAGATGTAGATGTTCGGGCTGAGGATTGAATACAACTCGATCATGTACAAGCTGATGACCTCAATGAGACATAAATTTTGACCTACACAAGTAATAATGAATTAAAGAAGGAAACAAGACCAAGTGTGAAACGGAAAAGAAAGGAATTGAAAGGGCGGTGGCCACGCACACAACGTCCGGCGGTCGGTGGAGTTGGACACTACACAGCACGACACCGTTTCACATTTAAGAGAAATCGAACTTAAACACGGCATTTAGCTTGTGCTAAAACATTGTTAATTTAGTTAACTACAAAGAAAATACACTGGAGAAATGTTTGTATGAGGATCTGATAGGTCGACAAATGTGCGCTTTTTATATCGTTAGTAGTATATGACTATATTCATATACACTTAATTTATTTGCACGTTTATATTTTTTGTCTTATTATTTTGGATGAATCCATGTACTTTGATATTTTATTATCTATTTCCAGTATTTTTTTTTTGGTACAGGACCTTCCGGTTTCTGGATCCACATAGGAACCGACTAATCCAGAATCGAGCCGGGTAGGACCATAAGGGTGGCAAAGCTCTCCCTCAAGA